CTGAGGTTTATTGTTTGTCCGACCCAAGTGAACTGGTGTCCGACCGAACTGTAGCTTTGTCCGACGTAAATCAAAATGTACCCTAGCCCAGGACTAGAGGCTTGTATGTTAAATGGAAAATCAGAGTACCATTGTATAAAAGGTGAACTGGAATTGTTGTTTTAACGTAGTGAGCGCGGGGCGGCGAGCGAAATGGTGAAGTGGAAAACGGGCTTAAGTTGCCGAAGTCTTTTTTAACACTGCTGTTCTGGCAAGCAAGTTAATTTTGGCTTGGAAATAAGTATTACATACATGGTACAACATTTACCGTTTATTCATTTGTGTCATTCCTGAAGACTTATTTCCGAGCTAAAACTGAACTGAAGGTCATCGGACATATGTCCGACCCAAACTCAACGTCACCGCACATTTTGTCAGACGGCCCTGTAAAAGATATTTTAAGGCCTGCCGGTGTGTCTGGACCTTAACGTTTCCAAGTTCGAAAATTGGGCGCGAACTTCGCAACGAAGTTCGCAAGTACATTTCAATGTTTGAACTTCGTTTGTAAACAAATGTTCGTACGCAATAATAATAACCAATTCAATGAAATACAAACTCTCTTGGCCTTGGGAGAGTATCAATAATTGTTTTACACTAGAAGTTCAAACATTGAAATGAACTTGCGAACTTCGTTGCGAAGTTCACGCCCAATTTCAGAACTTGGAAATTTATTTGGCATGTTTGCATCGAACTAGAGAAAGTGCGCTTTCGACAAAAATTATTATAATATTAGATAGCTTATAAGCTTCGCCTTCAACGACAAACGTCAGACAAAGAAAAAATTTACGCTATAAAGCAATAAAAAGTAAATGGGCTTGTTGTTTTAAAACTAGAATGCTTAACTATTCCCGTGTCACATGAAAGAAAATATAACACGCAGAAATCGAACGAAAATTATGCCAAGAAAAGTCGGTCTTGCCGTTCCCGCAAACGCGAAGCTTAAACTCCCTATTATACTGTGCATCCATGTCGCTCTTTGCGTGACTTGTAGCTATAAAGTATCCGGATTTCGGCATAAAAGTACTACACCTATTTACGACAAGCTGTAGTCATCTTATAATAGTTTTATATTGAGAGCAGGCTACAGCAGGGCTGTATAAACATAATGCCAGCAACAAGCAAGGTGTCAAATGTGAGGGAAAAGTTACTATACCTCAAAAGTTTCTCCAGTCGTTGTTTGTGCGTCGGCAATGATTCGTTGCAACGTCACAATCTTATTTTCCAGGATTTGTTCACGATGTAAAGCATCCTAGAGAAGAGTCGTTAAGTTGACATAAATACAAACCACCATATCAACCAAAAATTGGGTAATTCACGTCAACAATTGTGTATGCTTCACGGGGTGATCAGTCCTATTCTTCCACGAAAACTGCAGCAATTTTGCATCAGGGCAAAATGTCCAACCAATTTTGCGTTTTGTTGAAAATTGGCCAAAAATGTCCATCCTGATCAAGCAATATGAAGTGTTCAGGTGGAAAATTTTATCCCACTTGACCCCACTATACACGTAAAAATTCACATCTTGTAGCAAGTCTGCCAACAAGCCGTCAACAAGTTGTGTTCGCGCTGCTTGTCCCAAGTTGTAAACAAGTATGGAACAACATGTTAACAGCTTGTGACAAGTTTGTTGATATTATCAGACTTGTTGCAAGGTTGTTCCAACAAGTCCGATACAGTCACGATATAACAATATTGTTACAACCTTGTGTCGTCAACCTTGTGACATTCTTGTTATATCATGACTGTATCAGACTTGTTAGAACAACCTTGTAACAAGTCTGATAATGCCATCAAGCTTGTTGCAAGTTGTTAAGAGTTGTTCCAAATTTGTTCCAACAACTGGGAACAAGCAGTGCGAACACAACTTGTCGACAGCTTGTGAACAGATTTGTAACAACTTGTTTGGAGACCTGTAACAACTTGGGCGTTTTTACGTGTGTAGCGCAAGGTAAGATCTCACCTCTGGGCTGGCTGGTTTGTCATATGAACAGAAAATGAATTGAACTTTATATTCATTGACAGGGGGCATGCACAGGGGTGGAAAAAATAGGCGAGCACACAAACATTGCTCGCAGGAAATGTTAAACAGCTGCAGGAAATTTGTTTGAATGAAGATTTGTTATTGAAAATTTCAAGGAAACATTAACACCTATGTCCCACTATGGGCGCAACAACATATCGTTGACAGACATTATTCCTTGAATTTAAAACCATGGTCAGCTAGAACACTATATGTTTATGCACATGCAGATTTAGCACTGGTCTGCAGGAAGAGAATTCGTTTTCCCCACCCTGGGCATGCGAACTCACTGTCATTAGTTTCTCGCAAACAAGTTGTTACAGGTCTGTTCACAAGCTGTCGACAAGTTGTGTTCGCACTGCTTGTACCCAGTTGTTGTAACCTGTTTAGACAACTTGTTGACGGCTCGTTGGCAGACTTGCTACAAGATGTGAGCTTTCTATGTGCGTAGCTGAGCTCAAATGAACAGGCTCTAACCTGGATGTATTGTGACAGCTGCCAAAGTTCGTACGACTGGACACCACTACCACTTGCCTATATTGATAAGAATGACAATTAATAATAATTAACAAATGACATATTACATTTAAACATACTGTATATATAGGGTTGGGTGGTTCATAGCCTGCGAACAGGCTCTCAAGCTGAATTGAGAGCCTGCATCGATAACTAATGAATTTGAATATCTGCGTCTCAAATCGTGACGCGAAATTCTCATTGGTCAGATGCTGTAATTTATATGTTTCCGCTGAGCTCTATGTATGTCAACTGCTTGAAGCACTATGCATAAAGTCCACAAAAAACACATTAACTGATCAAATTGGTCTTGGCCGTCTTATATCAAAGCACAAAATGTTCTGTTTTGAGAAAACAGTATTTAAAACATTTGAACTTTTGCTTGAACATCTTATATTTCGAAAAACAGTATAAACGGTGCGGTCTAAATTTAGTTTGCACGGTCTAAATTTAGTTTGCAACACCATATAAGGATAGACATTCCATATTTGGAAAAACGAACGTTACGGGGCAGATATTCAAATTCATTAGTTATCGATGCAGGCTCTCAATTCAGCTCGAGAGCCTGTTCGCAGGCTAGGTGGTTCAGGGTAAAAACCGAAAACCGTCTGAAGACCCCCGAAAAAAAGATGTTTTTAATGAAAATTTCCTTATGAAAATTTAAAGGAAACTTCATAAAATAGTGGAAACACTGGGTAAAAAAAATGTGGCGTCCATTCCGGTTGCGAATTACGAATATTTCAGTCTTATTTTCGCTTTTACACACATCTGAAATAAGCCAGGGTACAGAATATGAATACGAATTCAAGTATTTTTCGGCGTTTTCCGTTTTTTTGTCAAAAGAAAAATCGATTGAATGGTTTTTTTTTTAAATCATTTTTTTCGGTTTTATTGATAAATTGCCCAATCCTATGTATATACTACCATTATAATGGATGATAATACCTTAAACATACCTGTGCGGGCGTCGCTTCATTACCGTCGGGACCAAATAATGTTAAGGTGGCTATGATACAACCATGAGTAACTGCAACATAATTATGATACAGAATCAATAATTTGTGACATTAGTGCAGGTAACACAGTCCCGGTGTCACAATATACCGGTTATGGTAGTTAACCTGTTGAGCCGGCACACTCTCTCCTTGACCATAGATTATAGATCATACCAGATGTCTCACTCAGCCAAAATTGTGTCCGTGATTTTTTATGAGCACGTGTTGGCCGCCATTTTGGCAGTAAGTGTAATCCACGCCATGAAACATGAGCAATCACGCATTTTGGCAGTAATCGCCATTTTGGCAGTAAGTGTCGCACGCGTCATCTGGCGTGATAGCCTCGCGAAAATCGCGGACACGAAAATCATAGGGATAGATACACAGTAAGACATCTGGTATGATCTATAATCTATGCCTTGACAGTAAAATCGTCTGGTGTTAGGCAGAGTGGCGTACCGGGCAGGGGGGAGGGGAAGTTTGTTGGGCAGTCGGGCAATATTCGCTCAACAGTCAGGCAATTTTGGTTTATTATAAAAATAAATGGGACAAATTCTATCAATTTTGTGGTAAATTTTCATAAATGTGTCAATTTTCGAAAATTTGTGTGATGTTCTGAAAAATTTTGGTATGTCCGAAAAATTTTTTGACCCCTAAAATGGTACACTGACTGAAATTTTTTTGGTGAGGGGGGGGTCGCCAAAATAAATTTCGGAAAAAAATTTTTCAGTACTGGTCGGGCACAATCTGGAAAAGTCGGGCAAATTTCATTCCGCCCCCCCCCCCTAATTTTTTCCTTCCGGTATGCCCATGGGCAGAGTAAAATAATAAAGTAGGGCCCATTAGGGCACCCTATTCGTTGTCCAATGCCAGATAATTTTACTCATCAAGGGGGGAATGCTGGTATTCAATATAATATTTATTATACATAGACTATAATGTTTTTTGTTCAATATTTTGATAATCACATACCAGCTCCTCGTTTCGAGTTTTCGACAACTTCAACGCCAAACTGAACAATATCGCCCGAGAATATTTCCTTCGGGTCGCTTTCCTCTGCGCCCTTGCTGAGACGAACATTGTTTATGAATGTACCATTGCTGCTCTTGGTATCTTGCAGGAAGAACTGTAATCATTATAATAGCAACATTTGCAGGTTCGTATATTTTTACAAAACATTAGGGCAAGGCATTTAATCGATATACCGGATAAAAAACGATTCAACTGATGTTGTTCTAGGCAAAACAAATGAAAAGCCAAAGGTACCTCACCAAGACTTTGTATACTCGAATGTTTATCATATAAAATTGATGATATAATTTAAATCTTGGTTCATAATCTGCAGAAATAGCCGGTGACTGTCTACGCTATAGATAGCAAAAATCGCTCGGTAGTGGCTTCTATTGAAAACCCTGATAATATGTAAAAAATACTAGTTAATTAACGACATACTCTTTCGTAAAACTGACCTAGTTATTTGCCACGTTATATCTTGTTGAAGAGTAAAAGTTTTGACACATTTAAAGATGCGGTAAAGTCCGTTCTGCGCATATATTCTGCGCATCAAAACATTCCATCAGTGGGGGAGCAACCTTTGGAATGTTGTTTTAAAATATTTCGCTCTCTCGGAACTTTCTTGAATTGAATCTCTAGTCTGTATTCATTTACAAGCATAACGAACCAGAAAAGTGTTAAAAATTCAGTATAATATATATCTAATCATATTTTACAACTGTAGCACTGAGTTCAAAATGTAGACAAAGCGTTTGTTTACATTACGGACTTTACATCACCTTTAACAAAATAATCTAAAACATTTTCCGTGTTGATATAAATTCGTCAAAATTTTTTGTCAAATTTTTTAAGTAGTTCTATCCCTATCAAAAACAACAATGACAAGCTTTCTTATCCAAAGCAAAGTAAATCCAAAAACTCTTAAGGCGCGTTTGCGCATAGCGATTGGTCTGGCCGATTTGGCTCAGGCTGGATTCAGCTTTATTCCAAAGGTCGTAGGTTCGACTCCCACCGTGGCCAGGCATATTTTTCAAGCTTGCCCGGTGTGGATATACACTCAGAGTAACATCACAAGCATCTTATTCACCTGAGTACATTACACCAACACAGCAAATATCATGATTATTAGATTACACTGATATCGAAGGAACTAGACTCGGTTCCGAAATATCGCATACTCGAACCCAGGCCTAGAAAATATATTTTTCTTCCTGGCAGCAAAATTCAAAAATAGAAATTTCCTGTGACAGTGTATAAGTCAAATATAAACCCTCATGATAGCTATAGATTTCAGAGAACGTATGGTGTCGCACAATGTGATCAACTTTAATCTCGGCACAAGACGATCTCGACTTGCAAATGGTCTTTGTAAACAATAAGTATAAATGATATGCCATTCCAGTAGACGAGATGACAAAAATTTCTTGCAAGTTGTAAGAAAATTTCCTGCGAAGATATTTTGTCAAAAATTTCCTGGCAGCGGTGCTGCTGGCGCTGCAGGACATTTTCCAGCACTGCTCGAACCGACCTGACCGCGTAGCTCAGTTGGCAGAGCATTGTTCTAGTATTCCAAAGGTCGTAGGTTCGATTCCCACCGTGGCCAGGCATATTTTTCAAGCCTGCACGGTGTGGATACACACTCAGAGTAACATCACAAGCATCTTATTCACATGAGTACACTACACCAACATGTGCAAAGTTATCAGGTAAAAAAATTCTCAATTTTGCACACTGATATTTCGTAATATATTGTACAGATAGCTAATTTGAGTTCGTTTCCTGTCACAATACTAATTAAAAAATGTAATTCCGAATATTTTTGCGGAGCCCTGCCTTAAAAACGGTAAAATCCTGCAACATTTCTTGAAATACTATAAAACTATACAAAAGATGTTTACTTGCCGAGAAAAACTGCCACGAGATACAGGCTTAAAAGCAGCAAATCTCTTAAAACGAAACATTTTTGGCACACGCCAAAATATTGCAAATTAACCGTGTCCAACAAATTTAATAATTTTGACAGCTCAATGTAGCCAAAATAGTCAATTATTCACTTCAATTTTAAACCTCAAAGTCTGCAAGGAATAGGATTTTTTTTAATTGAATCGAGGAAATAAATCGCCAAAATATAATGGACGAAGCTACAAAAAGATATAGGATTCGAGTTTATTTAGGAACTCAAAATATAAAGGCAATATTAACTTGTTTATAACATGAAATTTGTAAACTCGATACCTGTTGTCAGAGTTGAACTTTAATCGAAATAATTTTTAAAGTGGGTAAATTTCAAATATGCTTCATTAAAAGATTATTCACAATTCTACGGTAGTCTAAAGGAATGTACATTGTCTCACCTTTCCTCCTTCGTACCACACGATTGCATGATTTCTCGACAGAACTTTACAGTCGAAAATAAGGTTGCTGGCAGCAGACTTGACTTTCGCCACAGAGCGACCGATTTTTACGGACTCGCCGAGTTGAATTCGGCGCTCCTGAAAATCCTGGGAGTTCGGACGTGGGGTGAATATCGCCACAGCCATCGCTGCCTTGTCATTTTTGCATCTTATATCCCTTTCTTCGCTGCCATTTACATAAATATTGGGCAATAACTCGACAAAACTAACGACCGTCGGAAAAAAAATATGGCGCCCGCTTCGTCAGACAGGGACGATTTTCCATACACCAGATGGCGTTTCTCGGAAAGCGTCGGCATCATCCACTGATCTACGAATTTTGGGATAAAGGTACATCTTCACTGATCTCGCAAAATACACACTGGATAGGCGTAGTTTCCACTGATCTTAAAAACATACTGGATAGAATTATCTAGCCACTGATCTCAAAATCAAAGAAGTGAACTCTATATATATATATATATATCTGGAATGATAACATTCAGTCATTTGATTGTGAAAACAATGAAGCCTCGATACCAGTCTTTCACGCGGATTGGACGTCAGTCAGTTCACTGCGTCAGTCTCAGTCCCTCAAACGTCAGGCTTACGCGGATTGGACGTCAGTTTCATTCCCCCTCTTGCAAACCATTGCACGGCCAGTATAAATTTGAACGCAATCACGAAAAAAAATTAAAAACATGGCCAACTCAATGCAATACATTTTAGGAGCAAACTGTTTTGCTCCTAAAATTTACTGCATTGAGTTCGCTGTCGGAAAAAAGTCGAGGA